CCTTTTTGGTTTTGAGGTTTTTATTTGAAAACTGCTTTAAAAAGTTATCTGCAACGCCCTAAAGCTGATATAACTGAAGAATTATCAAATCGCGATCGTTTATTTATTGTAATAGCACTTAAACCTCACTGTGGAAGACCAATCCATTTGGTTTGTACTTTAAACATCCTAAGGAGCTAAGTTCATAAGTTTGCACACTTTAAACTCATTGTTGAAGAATGCAAGAAGGGATACTCGCTGCAAACTCTCCCGCATACTTGAAAATCTTGCCGAAAATGTGGTCGAATACCTTTGACAGTTGCCTTCAAAGGGAAATGCAGTCGGGAAAGTGGAGACATCCGAAGGGCTGCGCCGTCTTTTGATTTACGCCGTCCGGCGTGGAAAATTTTTACGCACACACACGAATTCTCATTCTCAGGGGGAAAATCCGGCTACACACATTCCATGTAAATATTTGGAGCAGCGAAGCAGCTGACAACTGTTGCCCTTGTGCAATGCCCGAAAAGTTCCATCGAATAATGAAAGGCGAGTGGAAAAGCCCGGCCAGCTGGACAACAAATCAGCTTAGACGGAATGCCTCAATAAACTTTTACACTTTTACTTTTTGTTACCAACTTTTCGCCTGCCGCCGGCAGGGAAGTCAACTCAAATCCGTCCGCCTGTCTGTCCCATTCTTTTGTGCCCATCTATTTTCGGACGGAGATTTGTGGCGTTCCCATTTCACTTTTTCCCTGAGACTCTCCAAGTTTTTACCTTTGACGCTGCCCTAAGGTGGCACTAAGTATGCGCTACACTATATATATTCTATATACATATATGTGTTTTATAGAGATCGGTAGAGGCTTCTGGCAGTTTGGTGGGCGTGTTGGAGAAAACATTTCGAATCTGATGATTAACTTCAGGATGAATCAAATGGAACTTTAAATGAAAGAAAAAATCATTTTTAGACATGCTCTTATTCGTTGCTTATTTTATTCAAAAAACATTTATTTAGCTTTCGTTGAATAGTCCTGGCATTAAACTGTTTGATTTCAAATTAAAAGCTATCAACTAGCATTTAGGAAATCATTTTGCCTGTCGAGAATATTATGTGGTATTCGATTTATTGCTAGTTTTTTCCTACGTTATAGCCAGGGGCCAAAGAAATGCAAATTAATTGATTTGTCACAGCAGTGAAAGTGCACAATAGCAGGCGTAATAAATAAATGAAGTGCTAATAAATTGAGAATGGAATAGGCAGCATTGCTGCCTGCTGTTCTGCCCTTCTTGACGGCTTTTTCACTTTGAATTTGGGATACACAAAAATGATTAATGCCCACATGGGGACCTGAATGAACAGCATTTTAAAACAAAGGCGAACAGAAGTCATCAATTGGCAAATGTCGCACGCACATCCATCATAATTATGCACATATTCGAGTTGTCTGGGAATATTTGACAACTTTATTACGCGGTCCGCAGAATGTTGTGTTCGGTTTTCTACATTCCGCTGGCGAGATGAGATTTACAGGTTTTTAATTAAAATCATTCCATGCGAATTTATCAAATGACGGACTGTCGTCTCGTCCAGTCTTGTACAATCTTTTTGTTCCGTGGGCGGCATTTGCATTGGATTTTTGTTTTATGTTTTCGAACATTTGGCGCTCTTAATTTGCTTCATGTGTCACAGATGGCGCTGCACTTTGTTCGACTCGGTTGCGGTGCAAATGTCTTTAGCGACAATTTCTGTATTTTATTTTTCTGGCCGTTTTGTTTATTTATTGCGATTTTAGGCATGTTTCACATACACCCGCCTCTTAATTGAGATATTTATTCGTCGTGCAGGCGATGTTTATAATTTATGAATTTGATGGCTGGTAAATTGGATGCTGTTTTGAGTTTAATGGAAAATTAGCTGATTTAATGAGGAGCTGCTACGTTTTATGCGAAATGAGTACGCCAGAGAGCAACACATATATTTCAATTATAACGTATTAAGGTCCATATTCGTTTAAAAAATAGTCAGGAGATTATTATTGCACGAAATCTATATAAAAGTCTTTCTTGTTCGGAAAAACAAATATATTTTATCAAGTTTAAGCAGCTGTCTGACATTCTTTGTAGTTTTATCATGCGAAGGCCTAAAATTTATTAATCACTGTTTGCACAAATGTTCGGCACTCAACGCTCTCGAATGTTTTAAGTGTTTAGTTTGGTGTTTTTTCCCCTTTTTTCCCAGTTTGTGTGTTTGGTATTTTTAGCTTTGCCGGCCGGTTATTTTGCAATCTATTAGATTAATTGAGGCAGTCCGAAAGGTGGGTGTTATCTAGAAAAGTGCGTCTTCAAGGCCCCAAGATATTCTCATTTTCGACCACTTCTTTGTCACCGCCACTTCGACCTCTACTTGAGCACTGAGCTATTATTATTCATGCGCCTCTAAGCTGAAGTCGAATAAATTAGAAAGAATAATGCCCGCCATATAGACATAGTATAGAACAATAAGACTTTGTCCGGCGTATATGTATCTTAATGACCCTCATTCTTTTGTCGGTGGAGAGGGAAAATATCCAAATAGCCGAGCTGCCAAGAAAAATAACATAAAAATTGCCGCAAAATATTTTCTAAATATTTGTATTTAGCGCAAGTTAAATAATCAGACAGATTACCAAAAACTGAGCAACAGCACAAACTGCAGATCCAAAAGCGCCAGCGAAATGTGCCAAATATACCTACGATGGTGGACACGAATTCAGAAACATATTTTCCTACCTAATAACTAAGTATTTAAAAACTAAGTTACTATTTCATAGGAGTCTAAATATTGTGGGCAAAAATTAGAAATGTTTTCCATTTGGTTGCACGATTTACACACCCACGATTTCTCTGGTATATCTAAATGAATTTCCATGTGCAAAAGCAACAAACACCTGTAGCCGCGAATCGACAAGGTTGCTCCTGATTTAGCTGGTTTTCCCTGGCAACATTGCAAGCAAATGCGCTAAGCTCTCAATTTTTCATCCGACAATGTTGCAGTTGGGTGGCGTTTTCCGCGAGTGGGTGGCTGGCTCCTCACCTGCTGCACCTGTTTGGCCATTGAGCCGTTGAGCCGTTGAGCCGTTGAGTTCACGGTTCACTCAGCCAGCTAGCTTGTTGTCGTTGTCGCTGGCAAACACGTAACTTTCCACATCAAACTTAAATTATGCAAATGTTTGCTCTAAGCGGGAGGAAAAGAGAGATTTTGGCGAAAAGGCGGGGCGAATCAAAGGAGAAAGTTAAAATGAGACGATGCAAATGGAAAAATTGTGTACACAACACGAATTATGCAATGGCATATTTGCCCAAAAATTCAAAAAAGTTTAAATTGAAAAGTTTGCAGAGCCGAATTAAATGTGGACAAATTAAATGCATGCGTTTCGAAGGCAATTGCACTTGTTGGTTTGGTTTGTGCACTGAAAGAAAGGGATTGCTGAAATCAATGAGAGCTATGGGAATAATTTGTAGAACATAAGAAAAGTTTCCATTCCGAGTCGAAAGTATTAACAAAGGTATTTTTCGAAATATTTTCTTCTTTTACACAAATTTCCTGAGCTCTCTGAAACGGGTGCATTCAGAAATGCTATCTAATTAATTGAATTGAGTCAGCAACTGTTGTGGAGAGCATTTGGCCAAGGACGACCCTTGGTTTAACCCCCTGTTGCCCCATGTGACTTTTTCACTTGCATTCCTTGCTTTGGCGAAGCTAATTAATTTTCGAAGAGATACTCAGCACAAAGTCCCGCTGGGTTTTGTTTGCTTAGACCAAAATAGCAGAAATATTCGTGGCACAAAAATAATTCAGTATTTATTTTGGCCGAATATGACACATTTTAAAGAACTTTGCTGCTCTACTTGCGACTAATTGCTTTTGTGGGCTGGCGGGCAATTCGAGGGTGCAAAGGTGAGTGGGTGACAAATGGCCCAGAGTTCGCCATTGTGACAGATCCGAATGACGGTGATATACTCTTGGCTGACAGCTGCTGTTTGCTGTTTGGATGCGCGGATGTTGCAGGCAGTCATTCAAGAAAATCGTGAAAAACCCCTAGTGACGTGCGAAAAGGACAAGTGATGTGCAACATTTTGGTTTATATGTTTGGCCACTTTTTGTTACTTGTTACTAATGTTTATGTTGCTTAGCAACTACAGTTTTCTCATTAGAAAATGAAGTAATCGAATGAAATTCCATTTGGATAGACCATTTTTGTTGAGCCCTGTTCAGCTGATGATGACGATGCTGATGTTTTCTTTTGTCCTCTTAGCCTTTGGCGTCATCGACAAGCGGTTTACCTGCTGGCACAATTAGAATTTCGGCACGTAAATGAATCATACAAATGGCTTTTCTTCGCTTTTCCCGCTCTCGCCTCTCGCGCTTTCCTTGCTCCCTCTCACTCGCCTATTTTCATATCCATCTCTTGGCGGGGGCGAACATTGCGCATACGCTCCGTTGTATGGCCGTCGGCTCGTGTTGTGTGCAATTAATAAATTTAATTAAGAAATAATGCACAAGCCGCATTGCGAATGGGCGTCGTCGCCGTGGTCGTCTTGTGTCGCTCTTTCAAGTGTGAAAATTATGATTATTTTCTATATATCATTTTCGTTATTACGCGAAATTTAACATGCAAAATCTAGTAGAATTATACACCGCCGGCGGCGGCGCTTTAAAACTATTTGGCTTAAATCATAAATCAAAGTGTGCGCCGTTTGGTTGCTGGCCCGCTAAGTTTTTAATTAAATCCCAATTGCCGCACCATGCATCACCGCGCCTAATCTAGCCAGCACACAAAGTATTCATTCTGTGCATTTATTGTTCAGGGCGAAAGGCATGTGGAATAACACAGTTCTCAATAATTCACAGTGGAATTTTCGATGTGTTACAATATCGAATGTGTTCCGCGTTTCGCATGGATTGGTGCTGAAATCCCCACTTTTCTATGTCCCCCAATTGCAGTCACATAGTTCCGCCCAAATGACCCGTTTCACACGAGACCGCTTGCCAAGAATTGCGTTTATTTCTTATTCTTAATTGCTAATTCAATGGTCACGACTGTATCTGCGGGTGACGTGTGGTTCTGACTTCCAGTAGGCTCTGGGCGGTAACAAGCACATGTTACTTGCGCCAAAGCATGAAAAATTATGTACTCCCCCAATCATATATTCCCTTGGAACCACATCTTTGGGGCAATCTGATCGCAAAACACAAGCGGGAATCCTCTCATTGATTACATATCCCGGCTTACACACACAAGGGCCTCCGCACATTCTTATGCAGGGTCCAATACCAGAGTACTCGCAGGTTTCAGGACACGCTGTAGGACAATGCATCATAGTTCCGTTGGCCGTACAGTCAATTCGCCTAGATTCGATGGGTTTATAAAAGAATAGGAAGCCCAGCAAGGCACAGATTTTCCAGGTGCACGTTTTCGTCATTGTAGATATCGAAGACGTCTACTATTTTCCCCTGGTGTCTACACACTATTTATGTAATTTCGTCGAGTTTTTAGTTTAGTAATCCAAATTAGATTGGCTTCGCGATTTTGTTCCAGTCCCTTATACCATTTGTGTGACTGAAATACATCAATGTGATGCAATTGTAAGTTAATCTACAATTTCATGAAATACTCAGCAATACTTTTCCTGAACGACTTAAAAACAAATTTTATTTTAAAAATAAGATCTAACAATGAGGGTTTTTTAAAGCCTAAAAACAAAACCTTAAAAGATTCTCTATAAATAACAAATCATTTAAAAACTGTTTAGCTACCGCAATAACGTTTTCTGTTACTCAAATCAGTGAGGGAAATAGATTTAGTTTTAGGTGATCTTAGCATAAAAGAAATGCTTTTTGGCAGCAGAAAGTACAATCTCTTTCATTTTGCAGCTTAATTAAACGATTAAGTACTATACGTATAGCCACACTCTGATTTACTTCCCACCCGCGACTATTTTGATTAAATCGCTGTAAAAATAAAATATTGTGTTTCAAATTCGTTTTGGTCTAGAGCCTTGAAATAGTCCATAAACGTTACGCCATTCGAATCGAGACACGAATCCTGCCGATTGACTAACCCACCAAAACCAGAAGAACCAGACCCAGGAGGAGTCCTCCTCAACCTGTAAGATTTCAGTTTATCGCATCGAGATGCCCAAAAGCCATGCCGAGATGCATAATTTCCCACACGTTTTTTGTATGGCTATAATATTCGGTTTTGCACTCCTGAGTCATCATCGCCGCCGACTTATTGCGAAACTATGCGAACTGCAAATTTTCCCGGCTATTTTTGCAGTCCTTATTGTTGGCATGCGCTGAGTGGCCAATAATATTTGCAATTATTTATTTCGGCTCTCGAGAGGTGGGGGGTTATTGCCAAACTGCTGAAATATGCGCCATGAATAATTCTCGGCGCACTGTGACAGCCCCATCCTACCCTCCTTCCTCTCCACAATGTGCGAAACGTGTGAAAAACTTTTATGTTCTAAAGATTCTGCAACTTTGAACTTTGGCGGCGGCGCTGACATGACGACATAATTGCAATATGGCTAATGCAATCGCAATCGCAATCGCGATCGCAATGGCAAAGGCAAAGGCAAAACTCTTGCAACACACGCCCAACATTTGCTAGCAATTAATAAATTGAGTTCCCTTTTTTGCGCTCTGGTCCCCGTATTTTGCCATGTTTATGAATGAAACTGAGCGCTTTCGTCTCAATTGGTGTCCAATAAATTGCAATCACACTCGTGCGAATGCTAATTAGTTTGTAGATCAAAAATTATGTTTAGCGAGTGCTTGCGCTGCAGCTGCTTTCGCGTTTTCGCAGCCTTGGAAAGTGCGTTGACCAACGCGGCGTATGCGCAATCAGTTGACAACCCACACAAGCTCACAGTTTTGAAAGAAAATCGCCGAAAGAAAATCGCTGCTCCTACCATTCTGCTTCTGATTCTGATTCGGATTCTGCTTAGACATATTACATTCGCCTGTGCGTTCTGGCTTTATTGCTAATTATTCTTTCTTTTTGTATCTTTGCAGGTGAGTTTCCTTTGTGGCCAATCGATGGGAATCCATTCGCTAGAGAGATGTCATTTATGTTCAGTAAGAATTACAGTGCACTCTCGCAAAAGAATACCAGGACTTGATAACTGAGTGCTGCTTGCAAAGACTGGAACCTCATATTCATACTAAGCTGAATGTGTGTACAGGATTTATAGATATAGGATTTTGAGGAATTTCAACTGTGTTCACTATAATCTCCAGCTAACTGGGCCTGGTCCAATGGTTTCTCACCTCGTTCTCATTGAATGTTCTCGATATCGCCGATTTGGGTTAAGGGTATGGCCATTGGAGGCTTCCTTGCAACATCACAACACAAACTTGACCCCCGACGCTGCCAAAAATATTGTTGTGCCTGCCATTAGTATTACTTTTCGGTGTTTTGGGAAAATGTTGACGTGCAAATTGCATGGCAAAAGTTTTCCCAGCTCCCAGGCGTCTGGAAAGAGCGACGTACGTCATTAGGAGGTAGAAAATATTGCTGGCTATGCTGTTTATTTGTTTGTTTTACCAACGCGCGCTGTTCAATCGGAGGGAGGGAAAAGCCGATCCACGAATTCTCAATTTCGCCATGAATTATTCATCCCTCGGTGGATGTGAGTGTGTGCGTCTTGCTTATTTCAATGCTTAATGCATAATTAAGCATTTTTGCAATTAAATGTGTGCGTGCGACTGTGTGTAGGGTCCAAAGCCCAAAACCCCTTTGAACTAACCAACCTTTACCTTGGCATTCGATATTTATCTGTCTAAGGATTTTAAGTTCCGGACATTGTCTTGATATTTTTGTTTTCGGTTTGCTTATATTACTGTTAATTATAACCGTTACTCGTAGAGTAAAAGGGTATACAACATTTGTTGAAAAGTGTGTAACAGGCAGAAGGAAACGTTTCCGACCATATAAGGTATATATATTCTTGAGCAGGATTTTAATGAATTAAAATTTAATTAAGAAATTACCAAGGCTGAAGTTCTAAAGTTCAAAACTCAACCTATCTTAAGCGGAATTTGCAGTGGCATACCTTTAAATGTTTCTGGAGCAATTCTCTAAAAATCTGCATTTATATTTGAAAATTTATTTTTTTTTTAATTTTTTTGTAATTTTTTCTGAAGATTGAAGAAATTCAAAAAAATTAAAAAATGTCCCGAAGCTGAAGTTCTAAAGTCCACAACTCAACTTATCTCACTCGGATTTTGATGTGGCATACCTCTAAATGTTTCTGGCACAATTTTCTAAAACACTGCATTAAAATTTAAAAATTATTTTTTTTTACATTTTTTTGTAATTTTCTTGATGTGATGATGTCGTAGAAATTCAAGAAAATGAAGAAATGTCCGAAGGCTGAAGTTCTAAACTCCATAACTCAACTTATCTTAATCGGATTTTGAAGTGGCATACCTCAAAATGTTTCTGGCGCAATTCTCTAAAAATCTGCATTCAAATTTAGAAATTAATTTTTTTTATATTTTTTTGTAATTTTCTTGATGTGATGATGTCGTAGAAATTCAAGAAAATGAAGAAATGTCCTAAGGCTGAAGATCTAAACTCCATAACTCAACTAATCTTAATCGGATTTTGAAGTGGCATACCTCTAAATGTTTCTGTCGCAATTCTCTAAAAGTCTGCATTCAAATTTAGAAATTATTTTTTTTTTTAATTTTTTTTTAATTTTCTTGATGTGATGATGTAGAAATTCAAGAAAATGAAGAAATGTCCTAAGGCAGAAGTTCTAATTGGATTTAAAGAGACATTTTTGAAAAATGTGTTATTTTTGCACTTATTTATTAGTCTTGTAAATTTCTATCGATTTGCAAAAATTGTTTTCTAGGTTTGAAAATTTTGTTTGAACACAATTTCTACTGATATTCCAGAAAATGTTGAAATTTCTCGTTTGCACTTGTTTGCAGTCGTTTGCATTCTATCTTGTTTTACTTAATTTGCTAAATTTAAAAGAACACGTACTCATAAACACTATTAAGTGTCACCTTGTTGACCTATTTAAAAATCAAACATATTTGTCTGTTTTAAATAAATATGTTTAAACTACTATCACATTATTTGTATATTTCCTAATGTTTACCCAATAATTTAAAGATGCAAATCCTTGGTTTTCCTTTAAATTAACTACAAACAGGAAGAATACAAAGGGGCCTCCCAAAATAATCATATGATTCGCATACAAATAATGCGGGACTTTAAATTGCTAGAATCTTGATGATTTTATCTAGATTTTTCCTGTTGCCACTTGGATACAAACTTATGGTGTTGTGATAAAAACTCAACAAAACAATGAAAATATTTAGCCCTGAATTGTTTGCCAAAAAATGTTCATTTTCATCTCCTTTATGCTTCGTTTTTGTTTTCTTGTAGTTTTTAGTCTTGCCTGCTTATTATGCCTTGTTTTTTTTCGACCATTCTGGCATTTGTGTTGCTTTATTTTGTTTTGCCGGCTACAATAGAATAGAAGGCAACAACAATGCAAATTGAACGTACCAAACTAAACATAACACACAGGCAGCCTGCCTGCGTCCGACTTTTTACACAGATATATATATAAATATGTACTATATATGTATATAGTATTTTTCACACAATAATGTGTAGAAAAACTTGCGAAATATTTTCCACTTGGCACGCAGCATGGCCAAAAGTCGTGTGTGTTTGTGCAGTTTACACTTTTAATTTTATTTATTTTTAATACGATTTCGTTTTGGTTTTGATAAAACAGAATAGAGAGGCGACAGCTTATTGTACGAAATTGAATGCAGAACGTGAGTCCGGTCTAGTGTTTTAGTGCTTATTCAACTTGGGGGCATCTGGAGAAATTGACTCCTTTTTGGGTGAAGAAACAAGTCCAACAATCAAACGGAAGTAGGAGTTCCTAGAGCTTAGTTAGTGGGAAAATCTTGATAATATTATACCCCACTGCAGTTGGCAAGTTTTCTTGATTCTAAATAGTGTGCTAAACATTTCTGCTCATGGGGGTGGATATATCTAAATAAATATCGCTGGGTCCTCGCCTGGCTATCATTGAAAATTCAATTTCAATTATTAGACCCGTCTGTGTATGTGCACACGTATGTTTGTTGTTGGGCGAATAGTTTGAGGATGCTGGCCCCCGGCACTTAAATGTCACATTTTCCTATGTGGCTCATTTTCTTGGCTCATATTTTCGCAAATTAAATTTTATTGAGCGTATCGTTTGGGCATAATTAATTTTAATTGAGGACACTACCCACACAGACGGCCACACCCTTACGAAAAACACGGTCGTTTTGGGTCTATTTATACGAGTTGTTTTTAAGAAGGCGGAACCTATGCAAATGTGTAAGCCAGAATGAATCCCCCAAAAGTTTTCCCACATTTTCCCGTAACCCTCGGCCATTACAGCTGTCTT